TGCCTGGGATTAAGGTAGGGTGCTGCTGCCTGAGCCAGCCGGGATGCATGTGCCTTCCCTCCTGCTGTGTCCTGGAGCTCTTTGCTTGCCTGGAAAGTGCCCGCAGACGCGCACCCACGGGGCGCACCCATCCCCTGCGCCCTTGCTCATGGGCTGGGGAAGGGGCAGGGCTGGCGCGGGTGACAGCGGGCGTCCAGAGCCACAGCACACAGACATCCCAGCCCCCTTGTCACTTCATGCTCCCTCTCGTCTCCCCTTTCCCCCTCCCTCTCCCTCTCCCAGGCAATTGTTCAGGCCGTTCGTGCCATGCTGCAGCCCGATGAGGAGCCCCTGCACAGAGCCCTGCAGGAGCTGGCACAGGCCATCGGGGACATGACGAAGGCTTTGAAACGGATGCACGGTAAGGGCTGGAGGCAGCTCACATCCTCACATCGAGCTTTAGCTCGTCGGATGTGCTAATGGCCTCTCTGGAGGGATGGAGTGGGAGGAGGCAGGAACTGTTCAGGGGAGGCTCAGTGCTCCCAGGACGATACACGGGGTCTGAGCACCCGAACGGGCCCCGGGTAACAGCCCGGAGGTGGTTTTTGGGCTGAGCAGCTCTGAGCGCTGATGCTGAGCCGTACACTGCAGTGCCCCAAGGAGCACGGCTGGGGGTAGTGCCCCGTGGGGAGGGGGCACTCGCACCATGCAATGCTCCGGCAATTCTGGCTGCATCCTTCTCGGAGCGCAGATTCGGGTCGCTTCGGCTGCAGCGGGGGGTAGCACTGCCACGTGGGAAACGCAGATGCAGAGGGAAATTATTGCCCGCAGTGACATCTGTGATCTGATTTCCTCCTAGACTATGTGGATCCAGCAGTGTTTTACACTGTGATCCGGATCTTTCTCTCCGGGTAAGTGTGGAACATTTCCCTCCAAAGCCACCGTGTCGGCAGCTCCCAGGGCTGGGGGGAGCCAGGGATGTGCTGGGAAGGGGCAGCCCAGACGGGGCACGGGGTCCCCCGGGGCAGGGTAGGAACCAGCACTGAGGGCACCACGGTCCTGTCCCTCTTGCGGGATGGAGTTCCCAGGCACTTGATCCGCCTGCGCAGAGCTGGAGCTGCTGGGCAGGACCACGGCAGAAGGGATGGGGTCTGCT